TTTCTTGACAGAACAACCTGTTCATTCTTCTTTAACCACATTGTGACCTCATCGCTTATTGGCTTATTGATCCTGACTGTTTTGTATGGTCTTTTATTTTTTAAGTGCTGATCCCATTCATCGTATATTTGTAACTTGTTTTCTGGCCTGACTATAAATGATGAGTAACGCTTGATTAAATAAGTTGGCTCGCATATCTTCTCCATCGCGCATCATTTCTTCAAACTCTCTTCTCTTATCTTCCTTCGCTCCGCTGATATGAATATCTGTTCTGATCAATGACTTAGTGAAATATACTCACTCAAACTTCATTCTCGTATTTCAATTATTCAATCCCCTTATTCACTAAAGCGAGTCAATCACTATTGCGATGGCTAAAATTGTAATACAAAACCAAACTTTAGCCGAAATACTTTAACTCAAATTCGAACAAGTATGTTTTTGATGCAATAGATACACCAAAGCAAAGTTAATTCAGTACAAGTACGAACTCACTTTGCTCTTCCAAAGCGCGCGCCAGTTCGAGCTGAGGTACATTCTGGCGAACCTGATTTCCTAAGAATGAGAATAAAACCCTCAATCCTCCTTAAGTATCCTGTCCTCAACCATTATCAGTGGTGTTCAGTAGTATGAATCTCATATAGGAGTGGGATATTACGTAACTGTGATTGTCTTCACTGTCTTACTCAGTCAATCAATAAAGAGGAAGTAAAGACCACCAAAGGGGACAATGCATTAGAAAATAAAGGGGAAATAATAAGGAGACGTGCCAAAATGTCTGCTCTTCCGCCTGTCCGGGGAAATAATGCGGATTTTCTTCTTTATGTCGCTCTGTGTTTCAAACGTCGTTGAATTATCTACTTTTTGCCTAAATACACGCCGATTTTACTAATTTTGCCTTCACTTTTAAAACACCTTCGACATAACCCCAAATGTCTCATGCGTTCGATTTTATTTCCATAACACACCACACGGAAACTGCAACCCACGTAAAAAATGATATATCTTTAAAAAAATTTACTGAAAAGAAAAAAACTAATATTGTACAACATTATGAGTAGTTGGCAGATACTTGAGCATCAATCATTATGTGTTTTAATTGTTATTGACAAGTCATATTGTAATTTGAAAAGATATACGAAAGAAAGAACAGGTAACGTATTATTAATTAGGCACATGTACTTAAGTGCAAGCGCATTTAACATCAATAAAGCTTTCTCAACACTTAGTTAAAGAGTTTCCTAAGCAAGTAAGAAAGTAAGCGCATGTTTAAAAAATGCCTATTGAAAACTAAGTTAAACATGATAAATATTCCACGGATTATTTGTTTTCTTCACGCGTGCACTTCTGAAGTCTTCGATTTGATGAAGTGCCAAGTAGCGTGAAATTACTGGCAACTTCAGGTGCCATGATGTACGATAAAATATAATACATTGACGTTTTAGGATCATCATCCATTAACCACATCAACAAGCCCATCTGTAATATGAACAAACAATCAAATTAGTGTCGTCGACTTATTTCCTTCGGCTTCAAACAAGCGTCCAACATCTTCAGTTCCTCCTTAAATGACAAAGGGAACTGTTGACTTGACAGTCCGCAATCGAATGTTCGCGCTCACCGGACTTCGACAGTAGCAGCTTCATATCGCTGCTCAAGTCAGAAATACCGGACAATATGCTCTGCGATACAGTATGCAGTCTATCAAATCTCAAAAACTTAATCAGAGACGTGACTCACTCGGCCGCAATCTCACTACCTACACGCCTAGACTCGAACGTTGATGACGACGTATCCAATTGTGTCGAACTAATTAAGTGACATCTTAAAAGTAAACAAGCCTACTTAGCAATCGAAGAGGCAACACTGCCGAGCGAACGAATTTTGAGATAGTGAAGATGGCTATTTTTAGCCTGCGTCTCGAGTACATCCATTTCAATAGAATTGTAAAGAAACGCTTCTTTACGTTTCAATGCACCTCTACAGAATGTTTGTGAGATTATTATACTAACCTCTTCGGCTTCTCAGTTTTTATTGGCAAGGATTTTTGGAAGGAAACCAACATATCCTTTGCAGATTAGAGACCATCTATAGTAAATGATGGTTCCCAAGTTTGTGACTCACCACATTCGTGAATGATGTTACACTTCAGGACTGACCAATTATCATCTAGATGTTCACTTTTGTAGGTGGACATCAACAAGCTCCGTTGGATAGAGGCAAAGTTCTTTGCCAACAACCCACTACTCGGCTGCTATCATAACCTGCTTCTTGCTTGGTGCATCTACAAAGACGTATTATTTTTTAGCGGGCTAAATATTACGTAAGAGGTAAGGAAATGGTTTGTGGTCATAATTTTAGCGCAACTGAAACAAAACACATCTACATAAAAGTATGGAACAGTGGAACAATAACTAATTAATCGATACAGTTAATGGCAATACATTTACAGTCAATATTCTTAACAGAAACCCGCATGTGCTCATAAGTAACTACTGAGCATTTAAGTATTCCTATGTGACTAGAAGGGAAGGGGTCCTCGAAATAATTGCATGGGTCTGTAGATGAGCTAAATTTTACCAATCCATCCTCCCCTACACTAGTGACTAAACCAGGCTTTCCGTGCACTAGTACAACATTGTCCGGTTTAAATGAAGTTATTTTAGTATTCGTACGCAAAATTGCTTGTTTGCGGGTCATGGAGTACTATTAGTCGGAATAATCACAGAAAGACATTTTCTCCGCATAACGCTGAGCTGTTTACCTGACAACAACCCGCTGTGCATTGATATCTTAATTTGTTTCACATAAGTATCAAATGTGAAAGCTGAAAAACTATCTGTAGGTCCATGTGCACGAGCATCGTCAGGAACATGCTGCAAAAAGTGGACATTATAAACTAAGTTTACAAACCCATAACACCGTTCATATTTCTTAAGAAAATTCCTCAAATCAATTCTGACGGATTTGGTAACGCCATTATGTAATTTGGGGTAAGTTAACGAATAAACCGATAACGCTAAATGCTTAAAATTAAGGTACAAGTGTTGCGGCAAAGTTTGTTAGCGAATCGTGGGGCATAAATATATAAGAAACGATCGACACTCTGAAGTTTTTCGTATTGATACGAAGTCAAATTTACGCTGAAAGTCGGAGGGAGTACTCGCCATGCAACTAGATATTAATTTATCCATATCCCTAACTACACATGAGTTCATGTTTCTTAGTCGTTTGTATGTGAATTCTATCCATAGATTAGCTCGTTTCTTTGTGACACCTAAGTACACCACGTACATTGGACCTAATGGAAAAGTTGAGATTATATTAACTGGAAGTGTTTCTAAAGTGGAATGGCCTTTATGGTGAGTAGATTGAGTCTGCTAACGAAAGCTGTCATCTATTTGCAACATATATTCACCGTTTGGTAAAGTTGAAGATGCCACAGGTATTCGGAGTTTTACAACGCTTTAACCAGTAACACCTTTTATATGAAGCGTACCCACCAAGTGAAGTCAAAAGACAGAAGCGAGGGGGTTCGAAGATATATTTGATAGTCTATCAATCTGTCGAGAATCGATTGATCTAATCTGGCTAGCGATTGCAGGGGACGTTGAGCACGGTGTTCCCACTCGTGATCTGGTGCGGATGCATGATCGAGCGCCTTCAGCTAGGTGAGCCCTTCGAAACTAATATGGTCAGCATCCAGTGTCAAAGACTTACAGAGCTATTGACTTTGGGGACTTATTTACCATTGCAAAGTCATCTTTCTGTCGAGCCGTCTACCAACCATAAATCACCCGTTGCAACTTGTCCTTCCATTGTGATTAACTGTGTATCCAACATCTGTACAGACAGGTGCATCACATGTTACATCAGACAACTTAATAGCTATGTATTTATTGAACTTAATACTAAACAGACTCACGCTATTCATCTGTTTTTAGTTCAAACATGGTGTACACAGAATTTTCGTTGAACTCCATAGATCTCTAACCTTGGGGCAACGATCCGTCCTGATACAGATCATAAATAATGTCTAGAGCTCCTTCAAATAAAAAGTCTATCTACATTGATATACAAATCTAAAGTATCAAAATCATAAATACACAACCAAAGTCCAGCATATCTCAGCAGATCGGTTTTCAAACCGAGATGGTAGTAAACCCAACTGTTGATGAACTTCGGTTAGATATTTGTGCACGTCCGCAGAACATTTATGCTGCTGCTCGATAAGTCTGGAAGAAGACCTCAGAAATCAATCAGAACCCGGTCAGCATTTTCGATGCTCAGATAAGTTTTTGTCATTAAATTCATCAATATACTATTGGTCTGCCCCTTACGATTTACGGACTTCTGAAAGCGCAAATTAGCGTCATGACATAAAAAAGGAAATATATTAAGGGATTCACTTCTTAGACGCACCACTATCATCCCGAAGCCTTTCAATGCTGTAGCTACTGGGTGCTGTTACAGTTAATGGAATCTCATTACAATCAATGACTGTGTTGACTGCTATCAATTCAATATAAATCACTGTTAAAGTCAGTTACCTTCGATAGGGCTTTCATTAGCAAACTTACTAAACGAAAGTAAGTTATGTTTTATCATGAAAGCTGTTCGTATTTTATTCCACCATCTGTCATAAGTCGATCTATGACAGTCAAAAACGCTTGACAAGTTCACAGTTGTACTACGTCTACCAGCTCTTTCACTGACTTTAACTGAGTTCACCTTATAAGACAGACAAGGTAATTAGTGATAGTAAACTCAGAAAACAAAGAGCGCGCCACTGAGTTGCATCACTTATGCTATTTGTGAGGTCACCAAGCTTTTCGGAACAATTTAACTAAACAAACTACAAAGTAAGTACATATGCATCTAAAGAAAACGCATATGCCTGCATTTTGTTTACTTGTGTAATTGATAATAATCTACATTTTCTATTAAACAGTACGTTATCTTGTATACGTTCATGAAAATGTAAGTACACAAGGCGGAGTATTCAAACGTTGTGCGTTACGTATGTTTCCACAAAATTCCCCCAAATACACGACGTAAGGGTAAAAATCGACATTTCCCTCAAATAACAGACATGAAGGCAAAACATTGGCATTTGCTTTTTATTAACTCTTCCGTCTGCTTTATTTCCCCCTTATTGGTTGCTTGGGTATGGAACATGCTCTAACCTCTGCCATTCTCTGAGTCATTATGTTATTCCAATACTCCTTACTTGATTATGACGCCTTTGTTATAGAACGAACTTATCAAAGTATTTTATCAACGCTTATTAAATGTCACTTACTCTGAGAACTGCTTAATTACATGTTTCCGATCCTTACAAATAATTGCCTTGGCCATTATGATGACCACATCCTGTTTCTCCTAATCACTTAGTTAATCATCCGACACTGTATCCGTAATGAATTGTAAAGATACAAAATTATGTGACACTACGACTCACTTAATATTTGGTTGCAAATCAAATATCTTAGTGTGCTACCATGATTTTAAAACGAATCGGAAGTACATAATTTTTCTCTCAAAGGTTAACAGTTAGTCCGTTAGTATTCTATACGTCAAAATTATATCCCTTAGTCTGCTATAGGACAGAGTAAAGAGGTCTAGCTTCTGAAGCCTCTTTTTGTATGGCAAGCTCCGGGGTTCTGGAGTTGCACGGGTAACTGCCCTCTCTAATTTTGTCAGGATATCCGAGTCACATTTTAAACAGGGGCTTGCAGCCTTAATGCAGTTCTCAAGCTTAGTTCTCACTAAGGTTTCATATACTGTAGTGAACATGGTAGTATCTAACTTAGTGAATGTCCGTTTAAAATCCCAGAGGGTTTTAAACTCCTTAACTGCCACCTCCCTGCAATCGACTATCGTCTTAAGATCATGACTCATTGTCACCCCGATATCCTTATGAGAGCGGACCACGGGTACAGGCATTTCCCCTATGCTGTACCTATTAACATTTGTATCCAAAAAGTGAATGAAGACCCACTTTACCACATTGATAGGCATCAGACACTCTTTATACCAGTTAAACCCTTTCTAAAACCATTTTGTTCGTTGTTTAACAGGTTATTGGTTCCCACAAATGTCATTATGGTCTGTTTGACTATTCTTCGCATTATCTCAACTACAACACTGGTAAGACTTACAGGTCTGTAGTTCGATGGAAGTTGTCTTGGCCCTGTTTTATGTATTGGAGTGACGATTGCATCCTTCCAGTCCGTAGGTAACACACCTTGTTTAAGTGACATATTGAATATCATGGTCAGTGGGACTGCGATATATTGTGCAATATGTCTCAGGATTTAGAGGTGTAGTTCATCGTCTTAATCAAAGTCCACGGTGAGTAGGCGGTTTGGTGGTTTTGTATTTGGGTCTGGTTCTTTGTCTAGAAGAGGTTCCTGAGTGAGAACTACCCCAAAATAGTTAGCCATATCCTCTGCTTTTCCTGATCTTCGTCTATCATTTTAGATTCACTCCCTTCTTTAATTAGGTTGGGAACCCAATAATGCGTCCTTGTTCTGTAATTTATGTACGAGAATATTCTCTTAGGCTGCTTAAGTGCAGGTTGTACCAAATGCATTTCATATTTTCTCTGAGCTTCCAGAATTTTAATTATACACGTGTTTCTTGCCGACCTGTAGCGTTCCATCGTACCTGCTGTGCCAAAGCTAATAGCTACATCCCAACATTTATTCTTTAGTCTTAGTAAACGTCTAATATCCCAGCCTATCCAGGTGTGGCCGTGCTTCTTCTTTGGAACTGTCTAGTGTATAAATGGTTAACCGCCAGAAATTAGTGTGCCTTTTCTACTGATGCCGATTAGTCAATTTCCCAGTTTTTAGTCGATGTTGTACAGTTTATTGCCTCCATATCTGCCTTCCATATGTTAGGATTGGCGGGCGCAACAGGCAATCTCAGCCATGAATTCGAATAATATGACTGCATGATCGCTTCTCCCTAGTGGTGGGAGGAAAGTCACTTGACCAACGTCATCACCGTGTGTGAAGACTAAATCCAAAAGAGAAGAGCTTCTTAATTCATATCTCGTGGGATCTTTTATGTGTTGTAATAAAGCTAATGCAATTGAGGTTTCTATCAGTTTGCAATCGAATAACATTATCTATGACCCTACTTCTAAGTTTACCCAGTCTATCTACGATGCATTAAAGTCGCCTATTATAACGCTTTTACCCCTATTACACCAGGGCTTAAGTTTGCTTAGGAGGAAGTCATCTACTACACATTCTGGACTACGATATACTACAACTAATTCAATATCTTGCCGCCTACATTTCAGCTTGCAACGCACCAGTTCACGTCCCTGAATCATGTGCCAATGCCCCAACTGCTCGTATGGTTAAGGTACTTTTCGTGTACAGGATAACCCCGCCTCCTCTATGATTCAATCTATCAACTCTATTGAATAAAAAACCAGCCAATTGAATTTCATTATCGAAAACCATGTTTCTGAGACAGCAATAACATCTATTTTTTCTTTATCCACCATTCTTTTGAGCTCCGCAATTTTATTTAGTGGACCGCGAGCATTTGTGTTGCACACCCTCAATTCTGTGGAGAACTTTCTCTTACCACCCAGAGTGGTTTGGGGATCGTTTTGATCCGAACTTTTACAATTTGAAAACCCTTAAGAACCATGTTTCTTCCTCCGTTTCGGCAGCTCATTTATTTCTACTTCTGTAGCTCGTCTCTTAATACGATAAACCTGGCTGAGATCCTCACGGACGTATATTCTGGATCCAATCAGTTTGCGTGAGTTTCCTAGTATCAGGTCTCTTTCTTCAACCGTAGCAAAGGTAACCTTCAAGATGCGGGCTTTATGAGTAATTTAAGAATCCACCTTTTGTCCTATTCTATTGTTATAACCTCTCTTTCTTACGGTTATAACCAAGCTATTCCTATTACTTAGTATTCTTGGACACCAAATCACTCGACAAGTCCCCAAATCAGAACATGATTGAACAGGAAAGAGATTATATTCCAAATAACAAGGTTAAATGGAAGTAAGGTGCAAGTAAGAAGCACAATAGAGAAAACGTTAGTATATTTGTAGTTTTTACATGAGAAGATTCTAGAGTATTCTACAACTATCGACTAATGCTGATTGCATGAGAATTAGCCAATCAGCGCGCACCAAAGCAATCGTGCATTGAGCATGCTTTAATCTAGTCTATGTCCCGCTAACATCTATAAAGCTTACAGATGCTAACTCCTGAAACTGTTACTGCGAGTAGCTTGTTTATCAAGGACTTAATATGACTGAGGTAGTGCTCAAATCTGGCTTTTGATTCTTTATCGGAAGACTCTCTTAACTTATGAAAAATGACTGACCTCTCAGCGAAGTCCGTTTTAACACGCCGTGGAATTTTTGTTCCTGAAATCGTCTCTTCCCTGCAATCCGAATCCAATTCAGCGTCAAACGCAGAGGTTACATTCTGTTTTCTTACTTTTCTTTCCCTAGGGGTGACTGAGTCACTAATCTACCTTATTTTGTCTCTTGATCACATCCTCTACACCTCTCAGATTTGGCTCCCTCTTAGTTTGTATTGCATTGATATGTGAATCCCGAACTGAAACCGTAGATTCACATGCCTCAGTACTGTCTATAGGTAGTTTCTTCTTAGCGCGCTTTTTCTTTTTTCTTGTGACGAGGCCTACATTCATATGCTTATATACTTCTCTGATTGAGTCCACCTTTATGGTCTCATTTAGATCTAGAGCTGGGCTCATGATAACGCTTTCAATTTCCTCGAAAGCGGAATTCTGTTCATCTACTTCTGCTTGTTTATCTGAGGGCAATTTTCTAGCTATATTTAGCGGCTCAATCACCTGTAGAGTCAGCATAGACTTTGTAGAGCAACATTCTTTGCACAACCAAGGTGACAATGGCTTGCAGCACCGTATATTCATTCGGTGTGAGTCCGGTGTACACATTGTGATGCCACTTATTACAGTTATCACATCGCGTCCCATCGTCGACAGGGAAATAACATACCGGTCTGCTACAACGATGTTTCAATTGCGCCATAAATTTGTTTTATGTTTATGTATAAGAAAAATAAATGTACCTAACAACAATGAAAAAAACCGACTTCTGTAGTTACAAAAAGACCTTAACACCTATGGATGCAAACAATACTCAAAGTTATACTCAACGATGAAGAATAAATATCAGTGCTTTTGGTTATTTTGTATCTGTACTCATAAAGTACAGATGATAAACTTCTCTAGAGAAAAAGCGGTACTCTTGGGGATTACTTTAACTGAAATAATTTCAGTTAAAGCAAAAACAGTAGTCTTGGTGCGTAATTTAACGATTAATACTATTAAATATACTTGCAGCAAAAATTCCACTGTTCTTTTTCAATAGCGCGCGACCTTCGTCAGATACCTCTGACTTTAATGTCAGGCGCTCGAAAGCCACTGCGGATGAAAACTACATTAATACACTGAGTACTTTGAGTAAATATTTTGACCTTGTGACAACGATTACTAACTAGTTAGTAATTCTCTAAGTGTCTTTCTCTTAATATTTGCTAACTACATCGCAAGAGATTAACGAGTCTACTAGATGGTCTGCAACATGTGTAAATTTAAATTAATTTTGCCTTTTCGATCATCTATTATTTCTTATTTTAGAGACGATTTGATTTTTTGTTCCATGAAATATCAATAGAAGTGGGTAATTATATAATCAGTCTTCTCAAGTCGACTGTTAGACCCATCTATTTTTAATGTTATATAAATATATATATATGAGTTAACAAATTTCTAATTGTCATTTTGATTTAAAGAAGTAAGAGTTGTTTATCATACATTAAACTCATTATCACTAAGCTCCGAATTTTCGTTAATGGAGTTCCCTAATCTAGGAGCTAACTGTTCAGTGCCAACTTGTCGAATGCTTGGTACGTGTGAATTCCCAAGTTATACTATTCTAGATTTCTTACCCGTTCGATGTTCTGGATGTCATGGTGTTTTCTGCAAGAATCACTATCTGTACGATAGTCACAACTGTAAAAGTCCCGATCTTAAGGATAAACAGGTTCCTGTGTGTCCCTTGTGCGGAACCATAGTCCCTCTGAAACCAGGCGAGCTTCCAGATGTAAAAGTCGGAAACCATATCGACACAGATTGTCGGTCAAAGCCAGCTTTAGAGTTAAAAGGAAAGGTTAGTGGTCCATTATTTCTGACGTAATGTTTATAATGCTCCGATTTTATACTGTCCTCAATAAGATTTGTTTTTACTATGGCATTAGATGCATAATTGTCTACTGTTACCTCAGTATGTGTTAATTCGGTTAGAATGAGTTATGAGCATACAGTAATACATTTAGGCATAAAAGTCATCAACTCAGTCTGTCAACAAACTTTTTAGAGGAATCATAGATTTTAGGCCTAGTGGTGCTAAGTAAGTATGAAGAATTGGATGGCGAGGTTGTAAATCTTTATTAATTGAGATATCCAGAATAAGTGTTAGGCATGCATAGTTTTTGTCTGGAGTCTGCGAAATAACCATGTTCTGTAGTTAGAGACAAGATGATATCCAAAATCGACCCCATTGGTGCGGATGCTATAACTTTATCCTCTTGTGTGTTTGGAACACATTGTTTGTCTGTATTCTGCATTTACTTTGTTTGAAAACACAACAGTACGGTGTCGAAATGTTGAAGTACTCCCAGTTAATTTGAGGTTGATTTCAAAAAGACCATTGTAAATTTTGACTAATAATCACCGAATTATTATTTCTACCTTTGCAGGAATTTCCATAGCGTAGTAGTTTCTATTGTAAGAGAGTTTTTAAAGGGTTACCTACCGTAACCTATAAACTAGTGTGGATGAGTTTATGGCATTTAAATTCAATTTCTGTTGGCGAAATTCCGGTCTGTTAGAGTCGTATGTAATAATATTGGTCAGTTGTGTGTGTCATTGTTATGAAATAATACTCCACGGTCATTACATTCACATTCATGGTACTAATTGAGTTGATTTTAGTGTAAAATCTTGAATCACAGTTGACTTCCTGAAAATTAGTGAATTCCGGGAAATATCACCACCGGGTGTTTCATATATAACCAATTTTTTAGCTACTTGATTAACATTCGAAGTTTTATTCTCACTTCTCACTTCAAACACTATGGTATTCTAAATATTGAAGACTGTTCGATTGAAGGAAAGATCAACCTTTATGTATTAGAAGCCATAACAGTATGCGACGATATAGACTGGCTAATGATGAGTTGAGACTTTGATCTAACTGTTGTTTTGTGTAACGTCTATGAGATTTTGTCATGCAATTATTCATCACTGTCTGCTTTGTTATTGGGTAGTGAAAATTTCAATACACTGTAAGACCCATCAATATGCGTTGCAGACAGCATAAAATGCTATTGACCATAGAAAATCATCTCGAAAGATATGATAGCTTGCTCACATGTTACCCACACCGCTTCAGCTAATTTGATTGTTGTTTGGACGATGCAAAGACATAATCTGTTCATAGTGTCTGGAGTGAGATGAAGAGTAGTTTTCCCAGGCTAGTTTCCGCTGTTACCTTCATACTAAGGTTGCAGGAACTATGAAGTCAGTGGCTTAAAATGTTGGGAATAACTCGAGATCATTGTCAACGGAGATTATACCGTAGGTTGTCTTTACAGGATGAGTCCGGCAAACTATGCACCGATAAGTCAGACATTTAGTTACGCTCCCATTTGTTTGTTTCTTATCATTAATCTTAATCTGTTTCGCTCATTTTCATAACATGTAGTAGTCTTACTTTTCTTGACATTCATCTGGTTGTTTAAATTCCTAAAAAGTCTCAGTTTTAGAAATTATACTTACCGAGAATTATCTATAGTGATATTATTGTTGTTATCTATAATTAGAGATTAAGTGTTGTTAACCATCCTTATAAACTTTGATCAATTTAACTAGCATACATAACAGAATTTTATCCAATCCTCTTGAAAATACAAACTGTCGGAAACAAGACCCCTTTTTCTGAATCTCTGACATGATAGTAAAATAATTAGTGAATGTAAACAGTTCAGTTTCCTCAAATGAATTTTTATAGATGAAGAAAGTTATCAAGCCTGTTGCCAAATGGTTTAAATAAGTTTCCTGTATTCAAGTCATACTGATTTAGTTAGTGGAAATTCACATACTAAGTGGCATATTTTACTTGGAAATGCAGGGAGAATAGATGCGAAACAGAGTAATAAGTTGTAAAAGTAAATCATTAACGCATAAACACTACTTACTTCGGTATTAGTCTTAACGACATTTAAGCTAGAAAAATGATTATACTGTAAGTTTCTTCAAAAAGTTTTGTTGAACACAGAATCTATATTTCGCAAACAAATTAGACAACTGTGACTGATAAAAGGAACCATTAGATGACACTAGTTACAGAAACAAAGATGTTTTCAAATAAACAAACCGGCCATTCAATATACAGTTGTCTCATTCTTGAAATTCAATGAAGTCAAAGTGACAAAATCGTGTCAGGAGTCAGGTGAATGTAATTAATTCCTATAAGTAATAACTATAAAAAAATTACAACCATAATTCAGTTTGAATTTTTGATTGGATTGATTATTGGAGCAGTGTTTTAGTGGTCAACTCTGTCCAAAGCCCCAGTAGGGTTACTTCTAACTCCAAGTCCGGAAAATCTAGGCATAAAGATAGCGACCCCGTCCAGTAAAAACCTTTCCTGTAAAAACGCTAACTGAAAAAGTCATTTTAACTATTTAAAATCTGTCCTGAGAGTTGAACGATCATTTTAAAAAGTTGTGACGCCTCATGGTGAAAGCTGAGGTTCTCCGAAAATCACGAGGCCGATGCCCTTCTGACAACCAGAGAAACAATTAATATGAGTACGCTGAATGTCCGGACATAAATATGTGTATATTTGTGTTTTGTTCTCAGTTGAGATTATTACATAATTTTGTTCTCTTCTTTGTTTGTAGTTATTCACAAATGCTTGCTGTGTCCCACGATGCAAAAAGAAAGAACTTATACCTTTTGTTTGTGATAGATGCAAATTAAATTTCTGTGTTTCGCATCGTAATGAATTAGATCATGATTGTAAGGGATTTCAACAAAATCTGAATAATTCTAGAAAGTTGTCAACTTCTGGTGCAGCAGCTCTTTATAGAGCTATCTTTAGCAATTTCAATGCAAATTCGACTTTGAAGGTGAATTTTTTTGTTCTGTTTGCATATATGTATGTGAAGGTTGGAAAGGGTAATCTTATTTGTCATTTTAACTATAAGTATAATTTATAAATCAACCTTCTTCTTTTTGCATTAAAGTACCACATGTGAAAGTTTGATTATTTTGCCTACAAACATAATCTAGTCGATAAACAAATGATTGGAATGGAGTATATTATAAGAAAGGAATTGTTTCATATCATACCTGACAGATTGGGATGTGGTCTTGAGTGCCGTTAAAGGTATGACATGGCTAAGAATCGGTCACAATGGCCTAGGTGTATACACTCTGTCTTCCCTTAAAATATGAGATCATAATTGCTTTATATCTTTCTTTTTACGAACTAATTCTTTCTTCATGTACTATATCCTTATATACAATCTTTATTTTATATATTACCATCATTGAATTAACTACTTCTATGAATCCGGTTTTAATCTTGTTGTGCTAATGAGTCAGTGTGGCAACTTGGGCCGTTGCACATATGTGCCTGGTCCTAGGTTGTAGGTGACTGGGTGATTGGGATGTAGGAATCTGTACTACAAACATATTCGGCCATAGCCTCTTATTTATATAGACAGATAAATCCTGGTACAATTGGGCACCGAAAATACGGCACACAAATAAAGTTACCATGTTGTGAAGAAATATAGAGAAGAATAGTACAGTCAATAAATAAGTGAACATCAACAGTACGTAATCAGAAATCCAGCTCAGTTGAAAATCAAACCTAGATAAACTCTCAGTGAAGGGGTTCCGTGTCACTTGTATGAAGATTGTTACAGAAGACTAAAATAGGGTCACCACTGGTCTTTATTCCGAGTCGTATGCGATAACGTTTCGAGTCACTGTATTCCACAATTTCCAGTGCCCCAACCTGTGAGTCGTGATGAACCAATAGACTCCATCTCTGTAAGTTATCTTCCATTCCACAGTGCTATGTCGTAAACTGACCGTTTCTTTGCTTTTTTGACCCAATCCTACCGTTGAGAAGTAATGTGCGATATCTAAGCCACTTGGGTAGAATTTGTAAAGGATGACTGAGCTACCGAAACTGATGCTTAAATATTGTGAGACCAAATAACATAACATAGGCATTGCTAACATTGTCGCCGCTAGATGTAAACGATTCTTCTGAAACAAAATTGATCGGACAAAGCCGTCGAAGATCCTCATCTCGGAAGCCAGGTGTCACAAGTATAGTGTGAAAGTGTTGTAAAACCGACCATATACAACTAGACTAACGTTATAACGACACCAGAGATGACCCAGGTCGACATTAATCTCTCTAACTTCCACTATATGTAAACTGATTTCATCAATCACTCCACAACCAACATTCACCTAACTATGCACATGCATCTCTGTTGGATCATTGAGATTTTTTGATTGGGTAATGTTTGATAGCTTAGAAAGGCTGTCGACAACTAATGAGGTAGTCACTTAAGTTTATTACTTTGATTTATATGTAAACTAATGATTGAGCTGCTTCCACATTGATTGTATGATGTATATCAAATCACCTGGTGTCCCGTCGAAGCCTGGCTTGCAATTCTAAGCAAACAGAATCTTGTCATCAATTGTGAAAGACTCAGTGATTATGTGATCAAGTGAACAGTATTTTCGTAATGATAATTTAATATCTCCACCCTTTCTTTCATGAGAAAAATTAAATAAGTTTGACAACGAAACTACTCATTTTATAATGTTATGTTACCAAACAGCAAAATTCCTAGACTGTTAGATCGGAATATTTCAGATGAAGCGTGAAGAGTGACTAGCCAGTCCTCCTTCTCAAATCAGTTTTTTTATACAGTTGGTTGGTCTTAGTGCAGGTGAAAATGATCAGTTGGTTGCTATTTAATGCCTTTAAATTTTCACAATGCGAATTTCAATTGTGTGTTCTTCTTGTCACATTATCCTTCCGAAATGGTCTCTTTCTGATAATTTGTAGAATGTATCGCCAACAAACACGATTCACTCATCATCACCTGTTGCTACTTCACTGCCATATAGTGTAAATTCCCGTGAACTTCAGGAAGAAGAAGATTTACAACTGGCTTTAGCATTATCTGAATCACTTTCCAGTCGAACATCTCATTCACAACCATCTAGAACAACACGTCATAATACCTCTTCAAAATCGTCGTGTAATATTTCTTAATTTATTTCCTATTTCTGTGTATAGAGTAAACTCACTTTACGCCTCAGGTTATATATGTTCATGTACTAATTCTTTGAAATACAAGATTGTGATTATGTTTTTCTTTCCTGGTAATATTTAAAAAGCAAACATGTGTCGTGATTTTACAGCTTACTTTTTTTTAACCAATACAGATTTTTATTTATAAAAAAGTGATGTAATTTACTGTTTCAATTTGTTCTAGTCAGAGTTCAATATTATTCCCTTATTATTATTATCTATATTCAGTGCGGGAATTGTGTACAAGCTTAAGTTTGATGATGATACTGAATTCTTTCTCAAATAGAGTTTATTTTCCAAGCTTTTTCTAGGTTATTTCGATCCATTTGTGGAACCTATCAATGGTGATTAGGGCAAAGCGAATACAGCATTCCAACTTCCGATTCAATTTTGAAAATGAAGAGGACTGTCAGCCAACAGCAAATTCAGAGTTTCCAACACAGACGTAAAGACAGTTCTGTTGTGTGGGGCTAAAACTTGTAGAACTACTACAACCATCATGAAAATCTTTCAGATTTTTACAAACAGTTATCTACACAAGATGCATCATATCGGTTGACCGGGTATGAACAGTAACTACCTGTTGTGGTAGAGAACGGACCAACCTCGATCTGAGGAGGTAATTGGGAAAAGACTTTAGAGGTGTGTAGAACACATTGCAGAAGTCATCAAACTGAATCAGAAAGCAAGCTTTAATATGGAATCGTGAAGGAAGATGAAAAGGCGCAGACCAACGACACATTGCGCCGTGAACTGGAGGCAGACAACAAGAGAATGGATAGCGCTTTGGGACAATTATAGAGGAGAATCTAGGACATAGTTGGTTAGTGAATAATGGTCAGCGGGCCATGCTGCATGAGGGATAATAGAGGTAAAGAGGCAAATGTAATTTTATTTATTTGAACACGTAAATATTGGTACAAATGGGCACCAAATATATATGCGCCACACAAAATAATGAGAATGGGGAGATAAAAAAAGAAGGTAAGGTGCGTACAAGAAAAAAACAATAACAACCACGGATTAGTGTAATAATAATAATAATGGGGGAAACGGAAAGGTACGACCAGAGGAATTCCCTCAGTTAAGGAAGATACAACCACTTTTTATTAAGAAGGTTACAGCAGGATCGCCACTGGTTTCTATTCTGAACCATATCTAATAACGTCTCCAGCCACACTATGTTGCGCTATCTTACAGACCGCAGCCTGGGAGTCGTGAAGGGCCAACAGAAGCCAGCCCTCTACAACTTTTTTTCATACCACGACACCATGTCATGCACTGACCACCTCTCCGCTTTTTCCAACCAGTCCCACCGTCGGCAAATAATGCACGACGTGGAATTCTCTGAGACCACATTCGTGGAACATGTCCAATCCACCGAAATCAGTGTTTCAAGATGGTGACACCAATTGCACTATCGTCTCTGTGCCCGAACACACAATGCCGAACCTCTGCATTACTAACATGGTGTTGCCACTGGATGTCAGCAATCCTTCGGAGACCGATGATCGAACACAGAGAGTCGTCTAACATCCTCATTTCGGAGAGGCCGGGTTTCACAAACATAAAGCGAAACTGCTCTCACCGATGCGTTGTAGATCCCACCTTTTAAAGCCAGACTGACATCACGAAGGCACCAAAGATGGCCCAGATTGGCATAAGCCGCTCTGGCTTTCACTACACGTGCATTTATCTCATCACTCACACCCTCACCAGCACTTATGCAGCTACCTAGATACACGAACTTCTCGACTACTTCTATCTGCTTACCATCCAGGGTGAGTACAGGATTGGAATCCTGCCAGTCTTGAAGAAGTACTTTGCACTTCGAAGGTGCAAAGCACATGCCATACCTACGGACAATGATTGCCAACTGATTAAGTGCGGATTGCATGGCTTGGGCATTATCGCACGGCAAGACAATATCATCCGTATACTCAAGGTCGAGAAGTCTTTCTCCAGGCAACAGATCCACACCACCATTACTTACATCCACCAAAGCTTTTTCTAAGACTTCATTGATGGCAAAGTCGGGGAGGAATGTGGGATTGGGCAACCCTGCCTAACCCCACTGCTCGAATGGAACAATGGAGAGAGGTGGTTGTGTGCCTTCATTCTACCTGAGGTGTTTGTATATAGGGCCTTTAAGATGTTAATAAACTTCTCAGGCACACCCTTCTTCAATAGATAATCCCAGAGGACAGTCCTGTCCAACGAATCGAAGGCAGTCCTGATGTCAAGAAACACTACGATTGTTGGCCTGTGATAAGTATGGCGGTGTTCTAACATTTGGGGGAGGGTGAAGATATGATCATATGATGATTAGGAGTATTTGAATTATAGTATAAACTAAGAATCCCAGAAATAACTCAATTGAATCAAGAAGTACTAGACAAGCACGATCGAATGTACTGTATTTGAAATTCGAAATCAAGCATTCAACGAGTAGAAAGGAATCATCAGTTCATTCAAAAACCACAGATCAATACATCGTCGACCAGAACAAAAACCAGCCTGCTCCTCGCGAGCCAATCTTTCTCGGGTTTTGAACAACCTACGAAGTATGACGGAAGCCAATAGCTTGGACGCAATCGGAAGTAGACTTATCCGCCGATAGTTGTTACAGGAACGACGTGAACCCTTTTTAAAGATAGGGACAACTATTGAGTCATTCCATGACGTTGGAACACTCTCTAGCTCCCAGACCTTTGTAAACAACGTCGTCAATTCCTTAATCAGAAAGTCACCACCATCTTTAAAAAGAGCCGGAGGTAAGTCATCTGGGCCAGGTGATTTGTGGCGCTTCAAGAGTTGGAGCTCCTCGCGGACTTCCGCCTCATTTGGTGGATCAGTCGTCACCGGCCATGGAGGGCAGGACAGTCTGACCGATGTTGTCGGAGCAGCAGGCCAGTTGAACTGCCCTTCGAAGAATTCTGCCCATCGTCCAAGACGTCGTTGGGTGTTAGTGATTGGCATCCCGTCCTCCTCACAGATTGTTTCGCTCACACTAGACTTCTTGCTGCCAGTGGCTCGGATGAGTTGGAAGAGCTTCCGGTAGTTAACAGACGCAGCTGCTGTTTCCAGCTCATTAGCACGCTCCGACCACCAGGCTTCTCGGTCCTTATGCAAGCTTTGCCCAATTTCCTTACGTAACATCCTTCGTTTATGGTCAAACTCACAGTCACCCGGAGTGGACCGACGGGCTTCAGTGAGTTGTAAGGAACCTGAAGAAACCCAGTGCTTATAACGGGACGTTTCGCGAACCCACAACTGACTGTACCCGCCATTTTCATGGCGTCATGCAATTGCAACCAATACTCATCTATACTTTTCAGTGGAATGGTAGCTAGCCTAGAAGCTAGCTCGGTTCAATACTTACTTGCAACAGAAGTTGCAACCAGCTTGCTAATATCAATCCGTTGATGGCGGTCACTTCGTTGTCCACTGAAAAGTAAGGCAATATTGGCGCAGACCAGGGCAATGGTCAGAGTCCAGATAGGTACTCCAAAAGGAGCGGCAGTCTTGTACACAACCACGCCAGCGGTAGCTGATCGCGATGTGATCAATCTGAGTCCAGGCTTGAGATGCAGAGGGAGGACGCCAGGTGGCACATCGGTAATGACTGTGCTGAAAGTTAGTGCTGGCCAGAAACAGGTTGTGGTCTGTGCTCAGTTGCAGTAGACGGTCCCTGTTATCTGTCCTGCGACCAACGAGTCCTCATCGGCCACCTAAACGATCCTCTTCTGTGCCTAGACGCCCGACCTGAGCATTGAATTCTCCGGCCAGTACTGCAATATCTGTCGAACGCACTTTCTGGAGAAGAACAGTTAACTGGTGGTAGAATTCATCCTTGGTTGTATCCGGGCTGCAATCTGTCGAGGCATGAGCGGAGATGACGAAAAGACATCGTTTCTCACGCCGATTTCTTCTCACTTTGATGGAACTTTCTAATCTAACAGCACATAACCGACTGTTAATGGAGATCCAATCGATTTGTGCTGCCTCAGGTCTAACACTTATTGGGACACCAACGCCAGCAAAACTAGACAAAGATGCCACAGAGTCCCTTGATAAACGCACGTAAAACAAGCCTTTTGAAGCGACAGATGGAGAGCGAATTTGTAGTACTTCACCAAAGTCTTGAATACGGGTCTCGGATAGACAACAAACGTCGATAATAAGACTTTCCAAAAACATAGCCAGACCTATCTGTTGTCTGACTTGCATAAGTTTGCGGAAGTTGAAGGCAGTCAGTTTGAATGGTGCTCGTGGTTTCAGAAAAACTGCTTCAGTATTCGTATTTGGTGGTAGCATTCAATTTTCAACCAGGCAGTGACTTGAGGACGTTTAGATAGAACCGAGTTTCCACCATAGGCGAGCTGTTGTACAAGTCGAAAAATAAGGATACACAGAGTGGGAATAAAAGAGGGTGAATAATGACGTAGTAAATAATAATAACAATAATAGTAATAATGATAATGTGAATCGTTTGATTGTTAATCGAAGCAAGAAAAGTATTTTCCATAAATATCGACATTTCATCATATTTGTTTGTTGGCTGTGATACTGCCCGAGTGCCCAGACCAAAGAAGGTGGTTTTCTTACGGGGCCACACCCCGAGCCTTTGACTTAAAGGTCTGATCCACAAGGCAGTGGAGCATCGTAAGGAGATGCAATCCCATGGTAGCCGGTGATCAACAATTGGTTCATACGCCACTTGTTCCCTCAGGTTACTGGAGTTCATGTGCACTATTGGTTTGGAATCCGGTTAAAGCGCTGGACACTCGCTTTTCATCCTCTCATTTTTGTAAACAACACCCCCGCCACGAGAAGGCAGTGAGTAGGACTTCCCTGGCAGAGGCTATATACGTGTGGCCATATGAGAGCACTCTGAGAGGGAGGGAGGGCATTACCCACTCTCCGCCGTACCAGGGCATTTGAGGGCAAAAAATGTGATAAGTAGTTGTATATTGGGATTTATTAGATTGTAGAATTCATAACTGATTGATGTAGAAATGAATATCGAATGCCTACGTCCACATAGCAAAGCGTTTCTAACTATACTTTTTGTAATCATTACTAAATAATAAAATTTGTGATGAAGTTCTAGTAAATAGTCAACAACCGATTTGTGATGATCTGATCAATAAAATCTGGGTACTGGACATAATCCCATTTGACTGGTATATATATATATATATATATATTTATATATATATATATATATATGTTCGTTGTCATTGCCTAAAATTACTCGTACTCAATTCATATTATTCTACATATTACTAGACTCAA